GCTTGAGACCAGAGCATCCATGGGGTTCTATGTGTTCATGCCCTCTGGAGACCAGTGCAGAGAACAAACCACCTGACTGTGGGCAGGCAAGCCTAGGGAAAGAACGCTGAAACCAACACCCTCTCTAGTCATGTCCCACTCCTACCTCTTTCCAAGCCCTACTATGGCAGTTTAACCTTGAGGGTGATTAGTGCTCAGCTGATAGCTGGGATTTTTCCTAGTGGTAGGGAAACCTTCGGCCAGTTCCAACCAAGATGAAGCCACCTGCACAGCAGATCCTTGTGCATCCTTAGCCTCACCTTTGCCCAACAAACTCCTATGCAGGGCTTCTTGCACATGCCCTGCATCTTATACATGTGCTTAAAACTACGGGATGACAGCTGTGTGCATGCGCAGATTCCATCCAGCAGTGTGGTGAGTCACTGTTGCTCATTTCCCTAATATCAGCCCACTGTACATACAGAGAACTCCTGGACACTCTCCAAATCCTGGAAAGCTAAGCACATGTTTCCTCTTAAAGGAGCACAGAATACAATACAAGCCTGCTTGCTATTTCCCTCAATGCTGTGTTTTCTGTATTACATTCTTCCTTGCTCTGCAACTTTTACTTATGTGTGTTTGTGTGCACGGCACACATGTGGGCATGTCCATGCAACATGTGTCATTCAATTCTTTGTTTTAGACACCAAGAATCACTCTGGGATTTTCACCTCTCCCCCTCCCCCAATAACATGTTTTCCCACATTCCCAAACCCTACATCCTTGCTGTGACTTCAGAAAAAGTTCTGTTGTGGCATGTGTTCCCCTAAATAAAACCCTTTCTGTTCACTCTCCCTCTCTCTGTCTCTTTCCAAGTACAGTTTATGTTTTTAAGAAAACAAAGAAATGTGAGCAGAAAATCTGCAGCTGGTAGAAAGGCTAAGGTTTCCCAGAGGTCAAAAATGTCTTGCTCCAGCCTGAGGAATGAATGTCACTGTTCCTCTTTCAACAGCAAAGGTTAGCCAGGGAGGGGTTGCCCTATAAAGGGATTTTCTGGGGACTTAGACAAAGCCTGCCTAGGCTGGCCTCTTGGGCCTTTGTGATGGAAATTCCTGGCTGGGCCCCAGAGAGGCAGAGAGGGGCAACTCCAATCAGGACTACCCCATGCTTTACCCCTAGCATACTAGCACCCCAGCAGAGGGAGCTAGAAAGATGCTGCAACCTCACAGCTAGGGCAGAACACAGGACCACAGAAGCATCTTCTGGCTCAGTCTGGGGTTTGCTGGCGCTGGTCATGGCCTCTTTAAGAAATGCAACACCTGCCTGGTGAGTCAGGCTTTGCTGCTAAATAGTAGACAGAGCCACTTAACCCATCCTGGACCTCCCAGAACAGATGGTTCCTCTGAGAAACAGTGATTTCCATGAAAACTGACAGTGGCTTGCAAAAAAGTGCCAACCAAAGCCAAGCCTACTGTCACACACATCTTGGGGTTCTCTCCCCCTCTCCATCCCCCCCACCCCCCATCCCTCCTGCCTGTGCCAGGCCTAATTCAAGGTCAGAGATAAAATTTGGTACTCAAAGAATATACACTTGGCTCCAATCCCATTCTCAAAGGTAAGGGCCAAGACACTTCAGGGCACACCAAAGTTCAATGCATGGGAATGAAGGTAGTTTTCATACATACCTGGTGTGAAAGACAACTGGAATAATAAAAGTTTAATCTGAGACTCTTTTTAAAAATCACTATCAATAGAAATAAGCACTAATATATACTGTCTTGTATTCTTTATATGTGTGTGGAGGTGATGTGTGTGTGTGTGTGTGTGTGTGTGTGTGTGTGTCCAAGGACTTGAACTCAGGGCTTGTACCATCCCTAAGCTTTTGTGCCCAGGGCTAGTTTTCTACCACTTGAGTCTCAGCTCCACTTCCAGCTTTATGATGGTAAACTGGAGATAATAGTCCTACAGACTTTCCTGCCCAGGCAGGCTTTGCACTATGATCCTCAGATCCCAGCCTCCTGAGTTACTAAGATTACAGGCATGTGCCACTCGCACCTGCCTGGCTTAATGTTTTTTGGTTTGTTTTTTAAGTTTTAAAATGTATATCCTTCTGAGTAAGCAATCCATTTTTCAAAATAATTCTACTAGTCACTAGGTTTTAGTTAAAACAGATTAGAGGGCTGGGAATGTAGCTCAGTGGTAGAGTGCTTGCCTAGCATGCATGAAGCCCTGGGCTCAATTCCTCAGTACCACATACACAGAAAAGGCTGGAAGTGGTAATGTGGCTTAAGGGGTAGAGTATTAGCCTTCAGCAAAAGAAATTCAGGTGCAGAACCCAGGCCCCAAGTCCAAGCCCCATGACTGACAAAAAAAAAAAAAAAAGATAGTTATAGTACTGAAAAAGCAGATTAGAAAATATTTCAAAAAATTAACAATATAAAATGTCCTATAATAAGGTAATGGCTAATTATAGTTCAAATTATTATATTGTCAATCCCTTGTATGTCAGTAAAGCTGTTAAGATACATAGCTGTGATCATATACAGATGTAGTCACACATAGCTGTAAACCATCCACAGGTAATAAAAACAATGGTAGGAATATTTAATCACATAGAACTTTTGGTAGGTACAAAAAAAGCAAGTTATAAAGGGAATGAATATTACAATTCTACTTTTGTACATCTTGTGTACATTTAAAGTCGTATAAAATTGGGTGCTCATCGCTATAATCCTAGCTACTCAAGAGGCTGATAGTTGATGATCTCTGTTCCAAGTGGAAGTGTGACTTAAGTAACTAGAAAATGTTAGCCTTAGCCAAAATGAAAATTAAAAAAAAAAATCCAAGCAAGAGCACAAGGCCCTGAGTTTAAGCCCCATTATCAGTACAAAAGTAAAATAAAATAGAAAATACACACACACACACACACACACACAAGACCTTACAGGTGGCTGTGGGGAGCAGGGAGCACAGATGACAAAGAATTCCTGTGTTTGATGCTTCCTGTCTGTTTTCCTGAAGGAACGATGGTTCCTTTAAAAGGACTGTGAGCTCTCTGGAAACAGGGATTTTGCTTTTGCCAATCTGGCTGCGGGGCTGACTCATTTTCCAGTGGTGTCATTTTCCTGACACAGAGCCAACTGGAAAGGGAACTAAGTGACTGCCCTTTGTTCTAGGAGACTTCTTTGCTCTGGGTCCCAGGGATGATAGACTGACTATTCAACAGTAGAAGGATTCAGAGGAAGCAGACCAATTGTCTGTGTGTGGGAGCTCAGAAACCCACAGGGCTGTGCTAAAAGCCACACAAGAGCAGAGAGAGTCCCTATCTTGGCACTCGGGAGTTTCAGGGCCCCCCGTTTTCCCATTCAAATCAGATCAGATCAGATCAATTCCTTCTGAAACATCTTTGTATGATCATCTTTGTTTCCTCCTCAGCATCCCTAATTGTGCTGAGGTTGGAGCAATGGCCTTCCCCAGAACTCTCCT